GCTGTTCTGGATGAAGACTCGAGCCACTGGAATTTTTGCTGTGAATCGGATGAGATGGACTGAGTTTTGCTAGATTACAGATTTACAGATTACTAACCGATTTTTTCGAATGTTTTTCGAAACCGAATTGTCGTTCTTAAATTTGTATTGAATCGTTGTTCTACCAGTTTTATGTATGGCAAAAAATTCTTTTACTAACCACTTTTGAGTAAACAAAGTATTCAATCGAGTAGTCAACCTTAGTAACCATTGGCTGAACTTCAACACTCAACAGTGATGCCATTTTTAAATCATACTAGCTGAGTGTGCCGGGCCTTGCTCGGGATTCAATATTAGCTTGAGTTTATGTGCCAATTAAAAAAAGCATGCTATATTGTACGTAGCCCCCCCCCCTCCCTTATTAGCTAAGGGGCTACCCCCTATGACCTCCACATGCCAAATTTGGTTCCATTTGCTTGATTAGTTTTCGAGTTATGCAGAAATTTCTGTTTCATTTGTATGGGAGCCCCCCCCCCCCCCTATGAAGTGAGGGCGGGGTCTCGAACAATCATAAGAACCTTTCCCTACTCCAAAAACCCCTGCATACAAATTTTCACGTCGGTCGGTTCAGTCATAGAGGTAACTCTAAGACCACTGGGTCCCGAAGAAAATCATTATTATTTTTGGCTCACTCAGTACCAGAACAACGGTCCCAAGCAGTCCCAAGCTATTTCACTCACCCCTGCATGTTCTGCATGAATCCACACACCCCTGATGTTATCTGTCAAACTTTCATAGTGAATCAAAACAAACATAGTGTAGTAATAGAATTTCAACTAGAATAGGGTACGTTAATCGTTTGCTTGGGACCAATAGGCTACTAAAGTGGTGAGCCAATTTAAAATCGTTAGTTTCGTATTGATTGTTGGTTCAGTAGTTTCCGAGTCTATAAGGGTCAGACAGACAGACAGAAATTTATTTTTATTTATATAGATATATATAGATAGATTGTTTATGTCCTGCTTTTCAAAGTGTGTCCTATCGTGCCGAACAGTGTTTCATGTGTGTTTCGGCACAGTATGCAGAGTTGATTACCCCTTGTAAGTCACTCATAGAATGAGGAAATTTTTACTCAAATAAGATTAAATGTCACTCATAAATGAGTAAATTTCACTCAAATATTAGTGACATTTAATCATATTTGATAAAAATTTACTCATTCTACGAGTGATCTACGCTTTTGCGAGTTGGAGTGAACGGTACTCAAATATGAGTCAGTTTTATTTGCCGTGAAATTTGTTTTGACAGCACGCTATATCTAAACAACCTAAATTTGAGTTAGGATCTACTCATATCCGTCAAAAGTAGGGCTGCCGAAAATTTAGCAAACGAAGTTGCAACTGACAAGATGACAACTGAACAACATTCACGTCGATGTTTTCCATGGTGTACCCTACGTTTGATGAATATGAGTAGATCCTTCTCAAATGTGGGTTATTTAGAAATAGCGTGTGTACCGTTTACACTCCTAACATTCCTTCGATTAACATTTTTGGCTACGGGATTTTCAGTGGAGTGAAAGGATAAGAGACGATCCGCTATGTTTCACAAAATTGAACATTTGCTTATGGGGTTTTCCTATAGGAGTGAACGTCTTCAACGCGAATGGTTTCACCAATACCAAAACAAAGTTTTTTTTTTTTTTTTCCTCTGTTCGGGACATAAAACCACTGCGACCAGTAATTTGATCTATTGTAGTATATCCCGTGTCCTTAGTTTAGTGCATGTCGTATTACTCCATCACTATTGAGAAATGATGAAGTATTCGGTTTTGATACAGTTGTCATTCTTGCCTTTATCGCAAGGAATCGATTCTAATTGAAAGGTCCCGCTATTTATACCCTTCGGAGTGTTGAAACACCCTCCAAAGGCGCACCCCTTTGTCAGTCAAAATTGGATTCCTTAGCAAAAAAAAACAAGACATGACACCGATAATGACCATGCATCAGAACCCTAGTCTTAACCACTTCAAACTAGGGAACAACGAATAGAAGATTAGGAATCACATAGGTGAAGACTAACTAACTCATTTTTTCCTTGTTTCAAGATCATCCTCGGTCCAGGCAACCCGAGGACTTATCACTATCAACAAGGCATAAAAAGTAACAAGGACTAAGATGTGTTCCTTTGATTACTGTAAAATCCTGTTCCCCTAGTTTGAAGTAGTCAAGACTAGGAATCGGAGGTAGATCTTACATCCCGTAACGTACCACGAAAAGGTGATCTACCCACGTTACGGGGAAACAAAGTTATTGAATAAAGTTCCATATTTAAAGGCCATCATTAAGAACAAGCATCAAAATTACGTCCTTAATGTTCGGTCTATAGTTAAAAAGCGCTAAAAGAGTTAAATCTAGACCAACAATTGAAATAGGTGTAACAACCAAACGTAAACAATGTAAGCAATGTAGTAAGAGTGTAAAGTGCGATATTGATTTATTAGGTTAGCATCACCGATAAACCGACATGAAACTTAAACTTAACTCTTGATCGAGAATCCATAACGGCCGATTCAAATGTGCAGCGATAGATGGGATCAAAACCATACAAATGTTTTATCCAGAGTCGATGTTATAATAAGAGTCCCGCCAGAGTGAAGCCAGAAGTACCAATCGAACTGTCAAGCGGGGTACCAAACAAGCAAAGTAAATAAACATCATAATGAGAGAGAGAAGGATTAGTATTTTCCATTTAATTCCACTACTTTATTTGCTTATCCTTGACAGATACGCGTATTTCGTCTACAATGTGCAGACTTCTTCAGTGTCTTGTACTAATACTGTCGGAATTAAATGGAAAATACTAATCCTTCTCTCTCTCATTATACAGGTATTCCACTAAGACGCCCACATTCATCAGGATTAAATAAACATCATTGTTTCCACAGCCAGTGAACTACAAGTATTGCATTCATTACTGACAATATTTTAGTAATTTTAGATGAAAAACATGTCTTCACTTTATTTAGTACATTGTGGTATATATAAGTTATAACAAGCACTTGTTCGAACCTTTTTCCGGTTCTACAATTGTTTTCGTCTCCTAGAAGCTCCGTTATCGACATGATTTTTTTCACTTCTGAATGAAGGTCATCCGATGCTAACGCAAAAATCTGGTTGCCGTTTACTCTGACGAAAAATAAACTACAAACAGTGCTGCTTGTTCGCAACATTTTCTCTTGGTGGGAGTCTTATTATAACATCGACTCTGGTTTTACCTAGATAAAAAAAATTGTCCGAAATAGATTAGACACCACCCCAACTCATAAATGTTGTACGCGTGTTCGTGACTAGGATAAATATTTTCCACGAACACGGTGGTAGATGTCAGTTTTGTGTTTTGATAAGAAATTTCTTTGTAATTTGTATGATCATTCATGTCGATTTGTTGGTGCTAGCATGCTACAAAAAGGTAAGTCCTTTCAATTCATGAACTTATCAGGGTTTTTTGACGACCGTTCGTTAGTGCAATAATACGGCAATATCATGACATCCGGAAATCGACAATTAAGAAAATTTCACTAAAATTTTTCTTTGAAAAAGAGCAATAAATATTCAAAGTTTGTCCCAAAAAATAATTTACGGATTACAATTTAACAGCAAATGTAGTATTAGTTTTTCATTACTATTATGTATTTTGCTGAATTAATGAGTTACTTGCTTGATATGCCGAAGTGAGGGGCTAGGCTGACATTACATCCCGCAACCCTATATTTATAATAGTCACTTCAACGCTCTTGGGTCATTCGGGACTTGTCCAGGGGTGAGATTTCAACTCGTGACTTTGGCGTGAGAGGTATGGACCAAACTGTTTGTAGGTATCTGATGGAAGTTGTTTTCCAGTTATTGCTATATGTGACCATCATCAGGAAAATGGAATAAAATAATCTTGATGAACGTGGGTGTCTTAGTGGAATACCAGTATAAAGAAAGAGTGAAGGATTGGATATATTGGATATTGGATCAAAATATCATGCTTAATATTGATTTTACAAGCCCCTTTGATCTTGTGAGACTATTCACAAAATGTAAAAAATAAGCTGAGAGTTGACTCGACACAAAAACGATTCCGTTGCTCGTAGTTTTCTTAGAAAGAGAAAGTGTAGTTTGCGATCTCTCTTTACTCTTCTCCGATGCATCTGATAAAAGCTACTGACTATTTGAATAAGTAAAGTATCATAAGAGGAAAACACTGTAGAAAACATAGGATTTTGGGGCAAAATAGGCTCCAAACATGTACTTATCACAGCGTGTGCCAATTGAATAAAATTCTGGACATTTTACCCAAAGAAAGTCATACGTTACAATGTGTGGTTTCAGCGGAAGACAATTTCAAGCCTTTTTGTTGCTAAAATCCCCACTGTGCGAAGGCTGGTACGAAACTACCGTTGTCAGCAGTGACAGTAGCTTCAGATTACGTTCCGAAGTAAAGCAAAAATCATGAAACTCAAACTCTCCACGGACTTAAACCTTCAATAACAGACAATCACATGACATGCCAATGCCTTAAATGTTCAAAATGCAACTGTATGACACCAAACACATTATCATGCCCCAGACCAGACTCTAATCCTTCTACCTATAAGAATCACTTTAGGAAGCTTTTTGCACCTTCCACCATAAGTAAATAGCACAAACCCTGCTAAAATGCAGATGCAATTTCAGCTATAAAACGTTCTTAATTATTAATACAATCATTCATATATGGCTTCTGACCTTTTAAAATCCATCTAAACTGAACTATTATTTAGTATAATTATTATTTAGTAGACAGACAAATAATGGTGTTAAACCGCTCGTCTTAATTGGTTAGGAAACCTTCTTGATATGGAATGCAAACATCAGAACCGTGAGCCAAAAGTGCTAATCGATGATGGCGCATCATGAGTAATGTCTGAAGCCCCATCTTCTCGAAGCATTATTCAGCAAAACGTTCAGCATCCATCCTCCTCTATATTATACAATAGGTGTTATAAATCCATACGACCTAGCCGTCGCGATTGTTAGTAGATCGCGTATCGTCGCAACTCGAAGATTGATCACAGCGCGCGAGTGTGTCATACAATGAGGAATCACGGAATTCTTCTGGTGGTGCTAGTTTTGGCCCCGGTTTGCTTGGCCACCCCTGGTGTTGGGGAATTTTTTGAAAAACTATTTGGTGTTTTCAAACCGGAAGGTATCGTCGTGACGGATGCACCGGAGAATGCGACGGATTCTGCGTCCAACGATACGGCAGTTGAGTTTGTGACGGAAACTGTCATTACGGAGCTTGACAATGATACCGAAGTGATCAGTGCAAAGCTGACATCGGTGGTGGTGGAAAGTTTGATCGAGTCCGAGGAGGTTACATCCGAGGCACCGACGGATGAGGATACGATCAGCAGCTCAACTCCATCGCCGACTACCACTGTGGTGTACAAGTTGTTCCATCCTAATGCGACAACTACGGCTTCTCCAACAACGACAACTGCTCCTACTACAGTAAATACGTTCATTACGGAGGCTACGGAAAACACTACGCATCACCTCACGGAATCAACCGCGGAGATTTCAACAAAGACGACTGCTGCTGTGACTACGTCCATTACTACGGCTACGGAAGACACTACGCAGCTCTTCACAGAATCTACCGCGGAGACTACAGCAACCAGCACGATTTCATCTGCTCCAGAAAGCCACGCAGCTGCGCTAGCTCCGTCTTTGGCATCAACCGCCATACTCGACAACGTGCTCTGCAAGACGACCTACAATGCGGTAGCCAACCTGAAGATAACTTCCTGCACGAGTTCAACCACACCAAAAACCCACAGGAAGCGTTCCGCCGATCATAACGTGGAACCGCTTCTGCTGGCCGATACCATCCAGAGCTCCGGCACTCCGGAAGATAATTATCCCTCTAGCAGCGAAATTGGAGATGACGATGGGGATGTTTTCCCTTGGGACGGCAATGGCGAGTATGTGTCGGGGCCAATTAACACCTATGGTTGATCAGCAATGAGGCGAGGCGATAAGAGCGGAAGATTTTCGAGGTTGACTAAGTGAACGTGACACTCATAGGAGTAGGTTTGTCCCATGTGGAATAGACACCATTTTTTGTAAATACGCATCTTCATAAGTAGCAGTGGTGCTGTATGTTTAATTTGGTAGTAAATACAATTAAGCTATTTGAAAATAAAAATTTACATATGACTCACCGGTTTTACAGAGCTTATAGCTCATGTGTATTGCCTAGTGCCAAAAATCTAATATAGTGTCTAATATTCAAAAAAAAAAGTGAGCAAGTCTGTGATCTGACGGTATTTAAAAGGTGGATACCGTAAATAATTACTAAAGTCAGTCATCCGAATTGTCCGTTCTGTCTTAACTTCTGAACACTTATAACGGTAAGCTGAAACCGGTATTATCCTCGGATTAAATTTCGATCAAGAATGTCCAGCTGCCTTGATATCGAAACCAAAGTTAATCAACACGACTCTAAGCAAACAGGGACGATATTAAAAGTTAATCCGAGTTGGAGCTTACCGCCATTAGTGTGTTTGCCGTATTTATCGTCGTAACTCAACAGTACCTGTTGAAAGCGGTCTCCTATAATGCTTGAATTTCTCTTCAGGAGGATTAATTAAACAATTTTAGATTAAGAGTCATGTGAGCCTAAATATTCAATGATGAAAAAAGTGATGTATAAGTGATGGGTTTTGCCTCAAGCCAGTTTCTGACCACTCTTAAGGACCAGCCACATTAGATCTAGATCTGAGGCGTTACAGCAAAACTTTTGCCACCACCTAGTCTGGGTACAAAATCCCGCAGCCACATTAAAATAAAGGACAATTAAAACTAGCCTATCCGATTTCTAAGTGTTTTTCACATCACTACCGGGGTGATTGTTCTGGTCTGGTTTGCAGGGATTGAATCATTGATTCGGACCTCGATTCGGACAGGCATTAGGCTGTGTGCACACTTCCACATCCAGTAGTACACTATTCCACAGGAACTAGGCGAACGTTTGTGATGTTGTTTCAACATGAGAAAACATCAATGACATGACACATGCGCAGGCGAAGAGATAGTACAGCATCGTCTGTAACTTCAAAGATCATGACAATTTCCAACCATGGGTGCCAAACAGTACCAATGAGTGTGCCATTGTGTGTCCTACTGTGTTTTTGGCACACTTTGCACACCAACCCCTTGAGTTTATCATTAGAAAACTATTGAAAACTCACGGCACTATGACCATTGAGGAAACTCTTAGACCAGAAGGTCCCGAAGAAACGTGCTCAACTTTTTGGCCCAGGTACTATGGTACTATCTTCGGTCCCAAGCTAATCGATGCACCCCTCGAAACATAGGAAAATCCACCAACCCCTCATTTTATCTGTCAAACTTTCATAGCTTATCAAAACAAACATATCGTAGTACTAGAATTTCGACTATAATGGGGTACGTTAATCGGTTTGCTTGGGACCAATAGGCTAGTCAAGTAGTGAGCCAATTTAAAATCGTTAGTTTCTACTGGTTGGAAATACTGTCAAATACCCAACAATGGGTATTTTTGGAATCAAGTTGACGTGTAGGGACTGGAAATTTAGGTTTGATGCCACTTTTAAATCCAAGATGGCGGCTTCCAGATACAGAAAAACTTGGAAACCCTGTCAAATACTCCACAATAGAGTATTTTTGAAATCGGAGTGACGTGCTGAGTCCGGAAATCGATGTCTGACGCCATATTGAAACCGAAGATGGCGGCTTCCGGTTTAAGAAAAACATGGAAACTCCTTCATTATTGGTATTTTTGGAATCGGGGTGACGTGTAGGGACCAAAAATCTATGTCTGACGTAATTTTTAAATCCAAGATGGCGGCTTACTGTTAGAGAAAAACTGAAAAATACTGTCAAATACCACTCTATATGAGTATTTTTGAAATCGTGGTGACATGTAGGAACTAGAAATCTATGTCTGATGCCATTTTTAAATCCAAGTTAGCCACTTCTGATTACAGGAAAACAGGGAAATTCTGTCAATATATGGGTATTTTTGGCATAAAGGTGACGTGTAGAGATTCAATTGATTCCTTGATTTGTTTTCCGTCGATCTTCTTTTCCGTGCTGAGCACCAATGCTACCGACGCCAGGGAGGCAGCTTCTACACCTGGACTACCTATCGACCCATCAACTCATGAACCGGGGACCAACGGCTTTACTTCCCTTCCGAAAGAAGGCGTGATCAGAGATGTTATGCCTCAGAACATCCCAGCGGTGCCAACTGGGATTGAACCCAGGCCTGCTGGGGTGTGAGACAATCACGCTTACCACTATACCACGGGTGCCGCTATGTAGAGATCCAATATGTCGGCTGCTGGATACAGAAAAACTTGAAAACACTGTCAAATAACCCACAATATGGGTATTTTTAGAGTCGGGGTGACGTTTAGGAACTGGAAACACATATTTGACGCCCTTTTGAAATTCAAAATGCCGGCTTCCGGATATTGAATTGCCTTTTTGAAATCAAAGATGATGACTTCCGGTAAGAGTAAAACTAGGACATTCTGTCAAATACCTACAATATGGGTAATTTTGGAATCGTGGAGACGTGTAAGTACTGCAAACCAGGGTTGCTTCCACTCACTTGCTATAACAAACTGTTTTTCGGTATAATGAAATCATTAGATGTTATTATATGTTATATTATTATATGTTGTACTAATATGTTAAAAGAAGAGGTTGTAAAGTGTATGTTTAACACATGAAATTTGTCAATTTCGCTTTCAAAGTGTCACAATCTGCGATTTTATGATTCATGTGCGTTCACTCAGAGTGAGCGAGTTAAATATTTTGCCAGTGGGAATTATTCTTTTTAAAAAAGGTCTACAGCTTGGTACTACTAAACTAAGACTGGTTTTTATTGCTACCTTTCAGTTACATTTCGAAGTGCCTACTCAGCTACGATGTCCAATCGATCGCCCTCGTTGTCAACAGTGAAAACTGCTGATGATGGTTGCTGCTTCCTATGCTGCCAAGTTGGCTAACTCCAGGTAGCGACGGCGTTAACTAGCGCTCGCAAGTCGTAAAATTGCTGATTGTGACTATCTGAAAGCAAATTTGACAGGTTTTATGTGTCAAACACTTGCCTTTCAACACAGAACAGAAGGATAAGTGCAAACAAATCGGTGAATCAAAAAGTGGTTCGTTTTTCTGCTCAACAAGCGATGCGTTGTGGTAGCGCTGCACACGGGCTTCTATGTGCACTCACACTATCATAGCATGCTGCCTCTCTCAACTGCAGGTAGAAGATGCCTTCTACCGCTAGGTGCGCTAATGGCCGCCAATGAAGGGTGTAGCCACTTTCTGATCCAAAGTTCCACTTCTGTTCTGTGCTTTCAACCTGTTCTTGTATCTAGCAAGTACAAAATATCATTATCATATCTAATGATTTAAAAATTCCGAAAATAATTTTTTTTATTGTAAATGAGTGGAAGCAAGCCTGCTCTTGTCTGACGCCATTTTGAAGTTCAAGATGGCGGCTTCCGGTTGGATAAAAACTGAAAAAATACTATTAAATACCCCACAATATGGGTATTTTTGGAATCTGGGTGACGTGTAGGGACCGGAAACCCATGTATGACGCCATTTAGAAATTCAAGATGAGGGCTTCCGGTAAGAAAAAAAAACTTGTAAATACTGTCAACTCTCCACAACTCGATGTCCACTAACTCGATATCGAGTTATGGACCTTAAAGAAGTTATTGGTTCTCAAAATGGCGTCAGACATAGATTTCCTGTTCCTACACGTCACCCTGATTAAAAAATATCCATATTGGGGGTTATTTGATAGTATTTTTCAGTTTGTCTGTAACCGGAAGCCACCATCTTGAATTTCAAAATATATTCAGACATGGGTCTCTTCTACACCCCGATTCCAAAAATAACCATATTGTGGACAATTTGACAATCTCCCAGTTTTTCTGTGACCGGAAGCCACCATCTTGAATTAAAAAATGGCGTCAGACGTAGATTTCTCCCTACACATCACCCTAGTGCCAACAATACCCATATTACTCACAATATGGATATTTTTGGCACTAGGGTGACGTGTTAGGCAGTATTTCCCAGTTTTTCCCTAACCGGAAGCCGCTATCTTGGAATTCAAAATGGCGTTTAAAATCGATTTCCGGCTCCTACAGGTCACAAATTAACGATAAACCGCGTAAGTTGATGACCACTTTTTTCTGGGAAACTTATGTTAAGCAAACTACAATTAAGTAAAACTAGAAAGTTTAATTCCGTTAATTTTTTACCCACTTCCTACCACTGCCCGAGAGCTTCAAATTTGAGAAAAAAAAATCGCTCACGATATGTTGATGTTATTCTGTTGGTGATCTGTAAAACATAACTGGTACCTCTATTTATGCATGTATGCATTTATGCGATTAACATGCGAAGTCCATCCTTTATTACATATTCTGCACAAAAGATACTTTCTGCTCCGCCCCATTCATAAAACAAAACGGCGGGAAATCCTGTCAGGGGCGAGGCTTAGAAAGTATTTTTGTGCAGAATTTGTATAGAAGGATCCCAACGAACAATTTGAGTTGATCAACAGCTGAATAAGCCACTTTTTAGCTGTATAAGCTTATTTTTGTCTGAATAAGCTCTTATTTAACATTCAATGTGTGTTGAGATGTCGGATGTTAACCTAAATGCATATACCGTGCATCATAAAAAAAGAAGCGCGTGAGGAAGTTGAACCGGTAGATGTATCTCTTAGTGGAAGTGAATAATCACTGAGATTATTTTTAATATAGTAGTTTTTGGTAGTACACTTACCGTTCTAACTTGCCCCGATGTACCTTAACTATGATGCTTACTATTAAAGAATTAAACAGGTGGAGAACCTGAATACGAGGAAACCAAACATTTGATTTGAGAAAAGTCACAGTATTCAATTTTGCATCATTCTACGAACTAATTTTATGTTAGGATTGTCCTCCAACTTGGAGAACAAAGAGGTGCTTAATGTATTTATGATGGTTTAACCCCATCCTCCTCTACTTCACTGACATATGAACCAACATTTTGTTCAATTTTGAAAGTACCGTCTTCTGATAGGGAAAACAACTGCCTGTTGCGTTATCATAAAATGAAACCTTCACTCTCTTCGCTGCTTCAGATTCCTAATTTAAAACTAATGATGGAGCTACTGA